GAAACATCAAAGTCTGAGTGTGTGTTCATCAATGGCTTGATCCAGAAAGATATTTTAGAAGCAAACCTGCAGAAATCTGCAAAGAAATTTGACAATTAATGGATCTTTCAGAAGGATAATGAACTGAAAGCCACCCGGAGCCTTTTGAAAAGTCTTAGAATGGTCTGTCTCTAATAAATGCCATTCGGCTTGACATTTTCCTAACACGACGAACTTAATAGAATTTTAAATACAGCACAAATTTTCAAATACTTTTCGGGGGCACCATATCTGTCGATGCCTATGCTGATGCTAATACACATTTATAAACGGACACTAGATATACTATACATGGATTAGAATCTCCATTGAGAATACTGTGGAGTCTACTACTAGGCTTAATTCCTGTCCAGGCACCTGACCCGAGTTAAAAAGTGCAGTAAAATTATACATTTCAGCACAGCAGCCCAGCGTCTCCTAAGCATACTGCTCTTCCAGAATACAATAATATACAATCATCTAACATTGGCTTGAATTATTGGTTACTTCTATGCATCGTTCTGATGCTTTTTTTTTTTAACAATTATCAGCTGATACTGATATCATCAAGCATCCCTATGCTATATGTTGTTTTCTTGATTTTCCCAGGTCATCCCAGAGCAACCTTCTTTTGCTCTCCCACGTTACCTTGCCTGGTTTCCAAGCTCCTTTCAGCCTGTTGTCTTGTCAGTTTGTAGGGTTCAAAAGACCATGAGAGCTGTCAGGCTGGAACTTGAGTTTGACAGAGATGTATCACCAACTCGCTCAGCTCCCTTGCCAGAACTCAGCTTTGTAAAAGCCTTTTTACAAAAGGCCTCAGTGTCAGTGGTGCTCCACTGAGCTATTGCCTCTGTCTCCACTGACAAAGATGTTAAATCACGAGCCAAATACGGAACTTGTAAACATTAGTTCATGTCATGTTCAGACGAAGGCCAGTTTTGTAAGCCTCTAGAGAGTGCCAGTCTCTATTTAGCTGGGACTGCCATGCAAAGCGTGTGTGGTGTGCGTGTGGAGGTGAAAGACAATGCAAGTCTTACTCTCCTCGGAGAACAAAAGAAATCTACGCTCAAACTCTCTGCAAATTAAATTTACATGCACACGTCCGATCCTTTTGGTATACGTGCACTCAAAATATGGATACAGAAACGTGCTTGAATTAATCATTCTAGACAGAAATGTGTCACTACTGTGCTGCCACTATCAATATTTATTTAATTCTTTGTATAGTCATGATACCATTTAATTCATTATTTTTATAGTCATTGAACCCACATACTTTAGGCATAATACATTTCAGTCATCTTTGGCATGATGGAGTTTCTTTTACACATAGGAGGTGGTGTATGAATCAGGGATGCATTGATATGGTAATTGTGGGCCGGTACAGATATCTTCATGTACATATGTGCCAATACTGATACTGATGCTGATGCATACACATATATAAAATTAAGAAAACTGGGTCATAATTCAAGAGATGCATCAATATGGTTTTCGTGAGTCAAGGTCAACATTCTTCATGTACATATCTGCAAATGCAGGTACCTAAATATTTATAAAAAGCCAAAATTGGGACTACACCTCCCAGTATTCGCATTACAGACAAATTAATGCTTATTTGTAGAGGGTTAGAAATGCAGTAAAAAGAATAAAATACTGATATTCTAGCAAAGTATCCCAATGTCGTGCAAATATTCTGCTCATCTAAAGTACAACAAATGTCATCAAATATTGGCTTAAAATATCAGATATTGTGATGACGATATTGTGTATTTTGGTACAAATAATTTGAATACCCAAGTATTTGTTACGCTGGTATTGAAGTCTCTATTTAGTACTCAGAAGCTTGTAGCCTAAAATAAATTTCAACAGGGTTGTTAGGTTGAACAGTTATTTTTTAATAAATGTAATAAATTATAGCTGGTTTAGTTGAATGCACCATAAATTTATGCCAGCCATGCCACCTCTTTCCACACAAACACTGAAGCTAAATAAGCAGAGATGCCTTCAAAAAAAAATGTGTGTGGGAGCACTTTAAATTTTTCAACAAAAAATAAATAAATAAATAAATAAAACAAAACAATATATATTTTTTCATAAGTATGACATAAGTATGAATTATTATTTTAAATACTGCTTAGAAAGTGGGAGAATGTGACTGGCTTGTGTTTTGATGGATGCAAGTTGCGTGTTTAGAGCAGCGGTTGTGAACTGAAACACTGATTAAAATGCAAGCGTATGTGTTTCATCAGACAAACGGCTGAAAAACACTTGAAATATTGTTTCTAGACGTGAATTTTTGAGAATGAGCATTCAATTACTTATTGGAAATGTGAATAAGAATCCAAAGTCTTTAAATGCTGTTCAGGCCAGCCCAATCTAATACAAATCATTCCAGGTTTAAAAACCAAAATATTGGTGTATTATTTTGCATCACTTGAAAATCTGTTGCTTCTCATACTGTATCTGCATATTACCCCACCACTCTGATATCTGTACCTTATCATATTTACCAGACTCTTGTTTAGCACTTTCATGTGGAGACTCTGTGTTTTTACCTAATCAGAATAGAAAGTCTGGAAATACTGATAAAGAAGCAACCCACAGTCTTTTGGAAATTAAAAGTAAATTTCCCTTAACCTTATTTTACGTTGGTCATAAACTGTCTCCTTGACCCATCTGTAACATACCCCATCCCACGCATGTGGGTGGGGCTGGTCTAAACTATGTTATCGAGTCCTAAATTGAATAAGGTTGACTTGCCCTGTCGCACTGCTGTTGCAAACCAATCTGTCACTTCTCGAGGTGCTAGTGCAAGGATTAATAAAATCAGCTGTGGGTTACTCTAAAGCTTTGGTCTGGACGCTGGGAGATGGATTAGTGAGAGCTCCAGCCTCATCCATCAGAGAAATTGACCGGTGCCTAACAATACAGGTCACAGCAAGACAGTGAGAAGAGGTTAGAGCAATCAAAGCAGCATTCACAGAGCAAGGCAGAGTGTGTCTGAACACTTTTTCCTCCCTCTGTCGCTCTTTTATACAGCTAAGGAGGTATTTCTTTTTCAGATGAGTCGAATGAGCTGATAGCCAAAATGACATCTTAAGGAACGGTGTTTGTGAACAAACATGAACTTTGCCTAGTAGTAACACTATCCATGCACTATTTTTTCAGAAGCTCAATTGTTGCTTTAGTGCATCCAAAGTGGAACTGGCCTTGATAACAATATTATCAAATAATTTATATAAGAGCTGATATTATGCAAATTATTGGGTTTTTTGTTTGCTTCTATGTGACACTTTATTGCTTTGTCTTTATTCAGCCACTCCCTCTATGGTATAAAAAAGCCTACAATAGAAAAGACTACACTTAATTTTGGGTCATACAAACAGAAAATCATCAACTACACACATACATACTTTAAATACCAGCTTGGAAAGATTATGCCTATAATATAGATTTTCAGTCTGGCAAAGTATGCTAGGAAATACACAAATAAAACAAAATCTCTGGTAGAGGAGCAAAGTGGATGATTTTGCAAGTCAGCCGACCAGACTCAATTTAGCATACTACCAATTAGCATGCACATCTCAGGACACATCATCCAGCTCAGTATCACCAACCGGTTTTCTGTTTTCTGCACAGACGGCATGTAACACTGTTCACATCCAGTGGTTCTCTGCGCTTGTTTGGTTAAAACAACAAAATACTGCCACACTGGGTAACTGAGTAATATTAGAAGCTATACCAGATGGTACTTTCATCATATCTATATTATCATCTGAGAAAATGCAAGCTGTACAGTAAGGCTCTGTAATGTCCCAGTGTGGGATTTCATAACAGAATCACAATTACACTGTATAGCATGATAATTCTGAAGATAATCGTTTGTCTACATTTCTGTTAAAACGTATAAAGTACTGGCACCCAAGAATGGTCCTCCACTGTGTTGAAGAACTCTCAGGAAACAGAGCTACGACAACTGTGTTAAAACTACAACAAACACATGTGTTGTAGTTTTAAGAGACTTGACACTTTCTGTCTCCTAAATCTCCAATCTTACCAAGTAAGGCTCATATGTTGTCGACAACTTAAAGAGTCATGGCTTAATTGTCTTTCGTTAACAACCTGACCGAAACACTGAGCTTTCCCTTAAATAGGAACAGGACTTGGATGAGATACCTTTATTTATTAAAAACTTTCTATTGTTAAATCACCTCAGAGTCTGAACAGCCAACAGGCTGCATGTTTTAGTTATACTATCTCCAGCGTAAATGGATATCATGTTTTTTAAAATGTGTTAATCAGAGTTTGTGCTTGCAGTAACAAAGACCATCAAAGCTCTGTTTAGACAGCAAAGTGTGACACGACTCCATTGGTTCCCACGAACAAACACAAACACACACTCGTGAGCCGAAATGAGGTCGGTTACTCAAGCCTCCTGTAAACACAGCGTAATGACCCCCACCCAAAAGGTCAGGTGTTACATTAACAATGCACAGGAAACTGGGCCAGCCAGCCAAATGTTTGTTTTATTTGTTTATTTATTTATTTATTTGTGCATTCAAATTGTAGCTTTTAAAAAATGCTTTCTCGTTGCATAACAAGCTAATGAGCACGAATGCACCGATCACAAACTTTAATGGCCGGATCTGATTTCTTTAAAGCCAAATGGTTGACAGTTGATAATCCAATTTTTGCTGTCATTTTTTTTTTTTTAAACCTGAAACTCACACAGTGTGGGCTAAATGAACACACTAGTACATTTCCAGTACTTTCTAAAATCCGAAGTAACAATATAAATAGGACTATTTGCTCTTTAATGGGCTAAACTTGTATTTTAAATGTAGAAATGAAAAACAGATGAACATTTATAACATGAATCAAAGTGCTACATGCAAGGAAGCTGCAATGGCTATTTAGCACAAGGAGTCATGTATAATTATGTTATGACAATCTGGTAATTACAGTGCAAGTGCGCTTACCTGTCTCACATTGTTTGTTTCACAAAATTGCGACACAGACCAGCCAGAATAAAAGTAATAAACTGTCTGTGTTCTTTCGATTCGATTGATTCTGATCTTTTCCAATTCAGATCTACATCTCTAGTTTTGATGCTTATTACGAATGAACTCAATGAGAAAAGTCACTTCAACACAAAACATTATGCTTTACTGAAATGTTATCTTCCAGTGTCATCTCTTCCTTACTGACCAGCAAGACACTGGAAAACCAATCTCAAAGTCCAGGCTCATGAAGCTTATCTAGATCCAGAAGCAGATAACCAGAAAAGACAGGAATCCTATTCATTTAGCCTGGTCAGCAATGTGAATGTATTTATGGCTATAGCAGCGCGAGCTGCCAAAAGTGCCAGCCGCTGAGGCACATAGGCCGAATACTGCTGACAGCTCAGTTCTGCCAAGGGGCAAGGTTACCCTGACAAAGCTCTCAACTTTCACAGGGGTCCAAACCTACACACTAACATATGCAGCATATACAGCACTTACAGAGAAATGTACTGGGCCATGTACTGTTCACATATCCATGCTAACCAGAGCACCAAGATTCTGTAACACCTCCAGCCTTTAAATTAGAGGAAGCCAAATGGGAAAAACTGTTTATCATGATACTTGAAGAAATGTTCACAACATGAATCGATATTTTGACACAATTGGCTAGTAGTGCCACATTTACAAAGCACTATGAAAACTATGATTACAATGATTAACATTTTGCATGTTGCGCATCACAATAACAAACATAAATCAGGATAATGATAAAATTGTCATATTGCTGACCAATGCTAAATGGATACAAAGAAGACAAAAAAAAGGTGGGATATGGCGTAAATGCAATATCATGACATGAAGACACTTTCACAGTTTGTATCATATTAAATTTTTCTGAAGTTTGATAAGTACGAACAGACATCCCAGCAGTGCCACATTGAAAAAATACCATCAAAAACTGAGTGCAGTGATTTCAGTGTCTCTCATACTGTGCTGGACCAAACCCCAATAAAACATGACCAATTTTGTTCTCTTTTTAATTAATCATTTAGTTTGTCAGTAAAAGCATATTGTGAATAGGGATGCATCAATAACAAGACGAGGGCTGTAAAGGAAACCATGCTGAGAAGCAGTGATTGTACTATCTAGGTAATGAGGTCACACGTAGCGGCTAACACATTTAGCGCCTAGAGAAGAGCGCATGTGGCCGGCCTTACTCAGATATCCAGCAGATGGTCGCAGTACCACCAGAAACTCAGACACTTAACTAAAAGTGTTGAACCACCCTTATACTGACGATACTGTGAAAGAAAACACGCACACCGAAAAACAGTGTCTTGGTGGAGAATCTCCAGAACGACCTTCTCCACACCAGAAACATAAATATTCTACAACTGTTTTCCATCTTATCGAGTGCCTTTGTAAAAGAGAGCACAAGTAAAAAAAAAAATGCACCAGAGTCACGTGAACATGCTCAGAGAACTAGCTGAAGAGTTGTAATGATGCAAGACTCTCAAAAGTTCTCATCGTACAGGATCAAAACAAAAACAGCTGTGAAGCCAAAGTGTGGAACTTAAAGGAAGAAAACAATGAGGTCAGTACTACACTTTGCTTTTGGGCAGTGGTTCTCAATCCTGATCCTGCAGTATCACTCACTGCTCCCAATACACCCGATGCAACTAATGAACTTATTAATAAGATAGTCCTGAGGTGAACTGGGTGGGCTGGAGCACTTAACATGCAGGGCAGTGTGACTCCAGAATCAGGACTGAGAACCACTGCTCTAGGGTGCATCATTTTCTGTACTGTATACAAAAATATGCATATTCCGAAACGCTTCAAATCATACCATAGGGGAGAGAGTGGCACAAACTAATGCAGGATAAAATGCTCTTTTGTGTAGTTAAACAGGTTCAGAGTGTGTATCCTCTCACACTCACATAGCAACAGATATTTCTCAAGATTCACCCAGTTTCTGTATCATAAAACTAACTTGGTAATCAGAAATGCAGTGAAACAAGTTGTGTGTATAAGGCACAGAATTTACTCCTACATTATTTTAATTACTCCTCAATGGTGGCTGTAACTCACAGTGAGGGCCAGCCACGCTAAAGTACAGCCTCCCTATGGCAGCGTTAATTGCAGTGTGATATTACAACTAGACATTTTTAAGCAGCGAAAATACAAAATTATTTTATTCACCCACTGTTTGTTTTTTGTGAACTCTCATTGGGGACATGAATTCACCAACCAAACACTTTTGTTCTGGTGTTGGCATGATGACAACGAAGCTAATGGGCCACGTGTGACCCCGTAACTTTGTCACTTGAACATATTCTGCCTACTTGTTTGTTTGTTTTTTCCTGCAGTGTGAATAGGTCTGTTTTTTTTTTTAATTAACCTTTAAGTTTTGTTTTTTTGCGCTGTGCTCAGTGTGTAATGGTCTCAACATCCGCTCTTGTAATCTTGCAATTCAACATCCGCTCTTGTAAAAGTAAATTTGCCGGTGTTTGACAGGCTCTTTTCAATAATCATTATTTTGATGTATATAATTTTATTTATTGAGGTTGGAAAGGTGGTCTGATTCAAACAACCAATAACCACTGAATTAATCGTGTTTTGCATCAATGTACCAGACTTTTCATTGACTTCAAACTAGCCCCTCGCTCTCACCCCATAGGTAGGGTTTATTGCAACATTTGCACTCGCTGCTTTTGTCCGAATCACCTGCAAACAGTACTGTGCTGGAAACAATGTTTCCCCTTCATTTGTAGCTGAGATGTAGAGATTGCTTGTCTAAAAATGAGTAATTTTGCTCAAACACTTTTGCAAAAAACAAAACGTGTCAGTTTGTGCCTCGCTCTTCTCTACTGTTACACCATACTCATTAAGAACGAAGGGTGCACAAGGGACACAGAGCCAAAGTGGTGTGCAGCTGTATGGTTTTTAGTGGGCATTTCAGAGTGAGAGTGGCTTCCAGGTCCATTTTCCCTGCTATGAAAAGTCTGTGGTACGGGAATGAGCATGGAAAACAAGTGCCAAGCACGTCCGACTATATTGGGCTGCTAAAAATGGCCTGAAACAGACTGCTAGAGGAACTAACTCCGCTGTACAGAAAGTTGAGTCAAAGGTTAATGTCTATGGAGTTATAAGTGAAGGTGACAAGCGCTGCACACCAGAACAGCAGGCAGAACTTCCGACTTGGTCCGAACTCATCACCACATACTCTAGAAGCTGGTCATAGAGCACTCAAGCTTTCTCCAATCACACCCAGGCCTTCATTTATCATGGTCATTCATCTTCCTCCTTCAGGACATGACTGCTGAAATGAATCACGGCGATGTACCATCAAGCAGTGTGAGAGCCGACAAGCAGATGCTTCGGCTCAGGGAGGTCAGGACGGGTCAAGCTTTTCTTTCAGTGAAAGGACAAGGGAGTATTTTCTCAGTGCCTCCAATTCCTCACTCAGTGGAACAGGAAGAAGAAGAAGAGTGTGGCTCGCTATTTCACCCTGGAGGCAGGCCTAAAAACAAAACAAGCTCTGTTTTGACCTTGATAGAAGCAGAAGCAGTGACCTCCGCGCTTAAACTCAAGGCCAAATGCTAACCTCTAAGAGAGATGGGGTCTCAGGGAGGAGGGAAGCAATAAGAGCTGTGAGCTCGGTGATCTAGCTCTCATGCAATGGATCTACCCCCAGAGAGGCTACCTCAGCTCCCGAGCGGAGATGATACGAGTCCAAGGGCTCACATCAGACAGACCGCCATGTGCCAGCTTTAGCACGCAGACACGTCGTCTCCTGCAAGAGTCTGTCACTAAGCTGCATGCCCATTTCCAAAAATAATAACAGGAGAGAATAGTAAGGGAACAATTTAACAATACAGTCGGAAAACCAAGAAAAGACAAACGCTGCCAAAAGCCATAGACAACAGCAAGCTAGACACCATAACTCAAGCCCAGCACATAATTCGCAGTACGCTTGTGTTCTTTCCTACCACAAATGTGCGTGCCACAAGCTCCGTGACCAGTCAGAGTGCTATGGTCAGACCACGTGTGCGTGCATTTAGGCTGAGGGTGCCTCTATTGGAATTCGTTCAAGTTTTCCAGGGTGAGCTAGTGTACATTTAGAGGAATTCCATTAAACTACGTAACAGAATGCAGCCCTGCCAGAGGAAAGCCTGCACCCAAGCACCAGCAGAGATACTGCCCTTGTTAAAAACTTGCTGTTGGCAAATGGGAAGCTCCAGCACTAATTATAATAGCCTGGCACTCCACAGCCCAGACCATGATTAACCACAATCTTGGACAGCATGCTATGCCTCAAGATAGCCACACAGGGATAATGAGATGCTCTGACCCTCCTGCTATGAAATACAGTCAGAAACAGGCAGGGGATTTCCTGTTCACAGCTCAGATTAGGATTGAACAGGAACACGGAATGAAATAAACTAATAAACCTGGTCATATAAGGTTACCCAATTATCAAGACATTCAGAAACTTAGAGAGCAGATGGATCATAAACTCATCATTAGTTGAGGGAGAAACAGTGCACAGTGTCAAACACAGTATGAAAGGCAAACAAGCTCACATTGTTCTGAACCAATGGATACTAAACCTCAGCATAATATTTTTAATATTTTTTAAAAAAAAGTGCAGTTTCCAGTGAGGTTTGAAAAGCAGCAGCCCACAGCATTTGATAGCTTTCACCCACCACGGCACATTTTACAGCACAGATAAATCTTTCATGCTGAAAATTACCCCTCTTTCTGTGAAAATTCATGTCAAGGGAAACTTGTGATATCAAGACACTGAGAAATGTGGCTGAGGATTAGTCATTAAAATGTCCTGATTGTAATGAGATTTCCCCCAAAGAGAGGATGGAATACATCAGCGCTGATAGAACAAGTGCTGCACAACTCAGTGAGCTACTCAAGAAAGCAAGAAAAATAACCTGATAATGCAGAAAATGAATGGCAATGTATGTTTGATTTAAGTAATGTTCTGGTACACCAAAAGCATTAACACTGGATCAGCCTGTAGACTTGACACTTTCCTGTCAAATATTAGGCACAACATCACCCCCAGAGGATATGCATGCTGCCTCATCACTAGAATTAGAAACAGAGAGGGTGACTGAGTAAACATAACATGACTATGAGCATCTGGAAAGCAATTATTTGCAGTACTGGGGAGGAAGACAGCTACAAGTAATGAAATCCTGGTATTGCAGAAGGTTGCAGTATGCAAATGAGACCTCTAACCAGCTGTGTACTGCTAGCGTCTTGACCGAGCACAGTTCCAGGTGACATTCTGTGGGTGTTTTGATGAATTTGGGGATTCAATCAATCAAGCAAAAGTACATTTATTTGGTAAAAATAATGTGGGCTAATCTTAAATTTACCAGTGCATACTGAAAGGTGCACGGCGGTCTCAACATCACAATGCTAGCACAAACATATAATCCGACGATATTTATTCATAGCCTGTATTAGTTTGTCATTCTGTTGTCAAGCAGAACATCTGGCTTTTCTCTCAGGCAAGCAATTTAAAATGCAAATACTATACCTATCTACAGCTGTAAGCATAAAGCGCTAAATCAAGGGTCTCCAAAAGACTGGGTAAATATGTAGATTTTAAAAAAAAACAAAAAAAACAAAAAAAAAAGCACATCATTGTTGACCGAATGCTTCTCAAAGTAAATGAACTTTCATGCTTAAAAGTG